TCACCTGTATGTGGAAGTGAATCATGCAGTGTCTCAGTTAGTGAAAGATTCTCTGCGAGTGGCATAAATGTGATTCTACAGAAGAATAAAGAGGAGGGAAAGAGGCAGAGAGAGACTTGAGAGAGAAGATGCCCGACAATTTGACATCATGGCATGGAAAAATGACTTGTGTCAGAAATTACTGTAGCTTGATAAGACATAAGGTTGTGAATTGACGTGACTATTAACACCTCATAGAATGGAATGTATAAAGAGTACAACTGACCTGTAGTCAAAGAACAGCTCCTCGCCTGCCTGGATAGGGCGCTTGGCAAAAATGCCGATCCGGTGATCTCCATTGACCATCATCACCTTGGCGTAACAGTTTGGGTTGATAGAGTGGTTGGCAAATCTGATTTTGTTCCCCTTGCGTGTAGCATCCACCACAAAATCTGCAAACAAGCAGTGACAGAACATCAACATCACCCTGCTGTCTCACTGATGCAGTGTCTTCAGTTGTTTTAATAATATATTTTAAAAAAATTAAGTATAGGATTCTTGTTACGCCAGTTCAGGGGAAACAAAAGAATAGACAACCCCCCCCCCTCTCCCTAAAAAGCATCTCGTAGGTCGACTAAATAAGGGTGTTTCCTTCAAGGTCAGAAAGCATCTGCCTGAGTGGAAGATGAACGGTCTGCAAATAAATAAGCCAGATCTGTAAAACTAGAGTTCTGGAGACAAAAGAAGAAGCAAAAGCCTACAAGTGGATGAATAAGAACTTTCTGCCAGAGTTTACAGCCGGTGAACACGAAGATGTTGACCAGTGGTGCACTAGGAATATGATGCTGGGGTAAACACGAAGAAGAAGTTGACCAGTGGTGCACTAGGAATATGATGCTGGGGGAAACACGAAGAAGAAGTTGACCAGTGGTGCACTAGGAATATGATGCTGGGGTAAACACGAAGAAGAAGTTGACCAGTGGTGCACTAGGAATATGATGCTGGGGTAAACACGAAGAAGAAGTTGACCAGTGGTGCACTAGGAATATGATGCTGGGGTAAACACGAAGAAGTTGAACTGTGGTGCACTAGGAATTTGATGCTGGGGTAAACACGAAGAAGTTGAACTGTGGTGCACTAGGAATATGATGCTGGGGTAAACACGAAGAAGAAGAAGTTGAACTGTGGTGCACTAGGAATATGATGCTAGAGCCCTACATGTATAGACCGATGGGCAATGTGGTTAACAACATGCCGGCCGCCTTTACTTTCCAGGAACTTTACCTGGTTACAATTAAGGCTGGGCTGACCTGATGTAATGTCTTTGATAAGAACAATAGACAACATTTGAGGACAGAATTCACTGCACTCTGTTTCATGCCAGAATGGCTTGTCACAAGCATCACACAAAGCATTAACTCTGTAGCTCCAGCAATGATCTCCAGGAATCTCTATAAAAACTGAACCATACGACGCAGTCCGTGAAATGAAACCCACGATCCTCAGCGAGTGAGGTAACCAGTTAACCAGTGATAACCACAGGGAGACCAAAAATTATGCTAGACTTATATATAGACCATTTGACACTCACCGGCTAATGTAGCCAATATTATGTCAGCCACCTTTACTTTCCACAAGATTACCTGTTTCTAAATGGATCATGAAACAGGCGGACAGACTGGCTGGCTCTGCACAACGACAGACGTGGTTAGTGCCTTGTGGGAGAGCGTGTACAGTTCGGAGGAGCAGATGGATCACCACAGTCTGGTGAGATTGATGCAGGGGGGAGTGACGAGAGGTTCTGGCAGATGCTCGTAGCTCAGAGGAAAGGCAAGACGGACGTTTATTCAGATTGCTACTGGCACCATTAGTATCAAAACTCTTCACTGGCTGCTGAAGATGGGGACGGATCGCTTATGGGAATGCACCAAGTGCTGTGATGATGGTTCTTGAATCAAATAAAAATAAAAATAAAATCAGATTAATCATCCTGGAAGCCAAAGTCAATCTTAAAAAAAACTGCAACCAATGTGGCTGTGAAAGGTCATCACTACAGTCAAATTAAAAACAAACAAAACACACACAAACACAAAACTGCACATATATGTTACGCTTTGTCAAACAGTAAAATTATAGACACTGACCAAATTTCAGACTGACCTAAAATTTACACATATAACCACAAATAAAGGTGAAAAAGGTAAAGTCAGGAGATGTGAACCAGTGTCAGTGCACACGGTTATAAACCATAAGTGCTCTGCCACCAGTCCGGACAGCTGATGAGAAACTGTCCGCCTGTGTCGCTGTCTGCACGTAACTCCGTAGCTACAGCGACGTTATTCCATTTACCCTAGATTGTCAACTCTGGTACCCAATTCCTAGAGACTGGAGGAACCCCGGGAACCGCCCAGTTTCGAACACCGCCCGTGGGCTGCAGCTAGCCGCAGCTGGATTTAAAAGTGAGTCTCATATCGACTGCGCTAATGCAGCCCCGAATAACTACAAATAACTATACTCACCATAGTTGAGATTAAACAGGAAGCTACACATATACTTGTCGTAAACTTTTCCTCTGCGGTCAGCTTCATCCTGGGAGATAATCTGCCAGAAGAAAAAAACACAAGTGATCTCCCATGACTGTTCTAGCACAAACCTACAGCCATTTGGCCCCTTCTGTCCCTGAATTTCTAGTTTAACCTTTTCGCTCCTGCAGTCTTTTAAAAAAAAACATAAGTCATGACCTCATGAGAATTCTCTAAAGCAATCCTTTAAAAACAACAATTTTACAAAAGGTCAATATAAATTTTTGTAAAATTTATGTACAATGATAAATTTATTTTTAAATGTAAAAAAAGGATAAAAGGATCAATAAATAACAACAGCAGGAAGCATTAAATGGAATACATTTCCTAGGACCTAAAAATGTATTTGGTGACTTATGCCACAACCCTGTGACCTCGATCACTAAAGCTTACTGTAAAATTTGATGCTAAAATGGCTTTTTTTTTTAAAACATGAAAAAAATGAAAATATAGCAAGGGAAATCTCAGAAATGAACACATACGATGCATTAGAAACACAAGGAAGATCCTACCTCGCCTATGACTTCGATGAGATAACTGGATTGAAGAGAAGAAAAGAAGAATCGAGTTTGTTCTGTCACTTATGGACTTTGGTCTTGTTCCAAAACCTGCGTTTTGCATACAAATCCATTTGACAGATCTGACTTATCTATGTGCTACAGTTGGTTCCTCATCTTTCATTCTAATGCACTTTGATTTAGAAAAATACACACTTACTTCGTCAACTTTTATAACAAGCTCCTTAGGGGCCAGCAGCATTATCCCCCCCCCCTCCCCCCACCCCTCCCTATGGGGCTCCGGAACCCACACAGGAAAGAAGCAGAATGAACTTGTTTGTTCATCTGCAATGAAATATTTCTGTTAGACCTTGTCCTACAACATTACAAATTATGGCAGTCTTAAGCTAGGTATTCTATATTTTTAACCCTTATCTTTAGCAATGCTTACCTCCCCACAATACTCGGAGATAAATTCATTTTTATCTGCTGGCTCCTTGAGAAAGATTCCCCATCCTGCCACATCAGACGGTGCCAGAAGCAGATGCTGGGGAGAAATAGCATCAACTGTCACACAATTTTGTCAGCAGCTATATCCTTACAATTCTGTCACTTGCCTAATGAAAACTACATAACAACTGTTTCCATGAGATGAGATGCCTGAGAAAAGCCACCCGCTTGATCATCCATGACCAACAAGGAAACAATACCAATAGACAGACTGCAGGAACAACATGTTGCACCAATTGATTCAGAAGCAGAAGATTAAATGGCTTAGTCACCTCATTAGAATGGAGCCACCAACATAAATAGTTTCACCTAAAAGAATTGGCGTTAGAGCAAGAAGATGGATTGATCACATTGACCCTCTCACTCCGAAAACAAAAGATCATGACCCAGTTGGAATTCCAGAAAAAAAAATCCTTTAAAAAACAAACAGTACCTTTATACAGGTCACACACATTCATTAAAAATTTATTAATCTACATTTTTTTGTCGGCTCTGTCGCTAAGTCGATGCGAACGCTTCGTAATGCCGGGTTCGATTCCAGTTGCGGGTCACGCGCCTTGCGTTAGTTTCGACAGTGGTATCAAGAAAGCAGACCGTCCAGAAAGTAATGGCAAACTACTGGACGTAAATTTGCCTAGAAAAACCACACAACAGCCAGGGGCTGATGGGGTTGGTTCTGCAACGTCCTGTAAAGGATACTCAACTAACCTACATTTTTTAAATCTTTATTTCAATATAAATATATAAATAAAGATACACAAAGGGAGCCTCAATAAACACAGAGTGGGTAAAACATTTAAGGGAATAGCCTGGTGTCTAAAATAAACACATGTATCAGGTGCCTCATGTTGTGGCCTCAGAGGCTTACAAGAAAATTAGATGTCAACTCAGCTTTAGCAATGATATTTGGCTTAAAGGGGAAACCTTGTAAATGCTATTTTTAGTTTAGTGTTCGTATCCTGACCTAAATATCTGACTAGGTGTGAAAACTGCCAATAGAGAGTGTGTGCCTTGTAAATAGGTCACTACAGATAAGTCTGAAAAGTGACATTCATGGTGAACTGGACCCAACCTGAAGGTCAGTGCTGAAGCTTCTCAGGGCATAAGGGTTGAAGACACAAGGATGACTATGGCCACTGCCATCCATTCCATTAATTGTCAGACTGCAAACTGTTTCTGCACCACTACACTTAGCGACAAAAAACGGAAGTTGATGTTGACAAAGACTAATTTAAGTTAGCAGAACTGCACCACTATCTATCAAACATGAATACAGAATGTGTTGATGGATGCAACCATGCATGATCTGTTCCTATTTGCTGAAATACCTGGAGGAGGTTACCATTGGCAACAGATAGTAGAAATCTACTTCCACCTGATACAAACAAAACATGGCGGTGACGATTGATAGATTAAAGAAATCTTTACTGACCTTTCTGAGACCTCTCTGAACACTGACGTTCTTGCAGGAAATTTTAGGAGTGTCAAACTGATCTGTGGAACAATCAAAGAGTTACTTTCTTGATTTAATACTGAGCCTATCTTTTCAATGTAAAAAGTTCCCCCAAATATGTTCTGGGACCCCATTGTGGGAGCATATGTGTAATGGGACCCCATTGTGGGAGGATATGTGTTCTGGGACCCCATTGTGGGAGGATATGTGTTCTGGGACCCCATTGTGGGAGGATATGTGTTCCGGGACCCCATTGTGGGAGGATATGTGTTCTGGGACCCCATTGTGGGAGGATATGTGTTCTGGGACCCCATTGTGGGAGGATATGTGTTCTGGGACCCCATTGTGGGAGGATATGTGTTCTGGGACCCCACTGTGGGAGGATATGTGTTCTGGGACCCCATTGTGGGAGGCACACAAAAAAACAGACTGAATGCATTGTGAAACAAAAATCATGTTGTAAGAGCTGACTTGAAGTCGGAATTCATCAGCATCAGATGAGGAACCAACAGCTGCATACAGATAAGCAAGATCTTTAAAACAGATATGCATGCAAAACTCAGGTTCTGGAATACGGCTAGATCCAGAAGTGGATAAATAAGCAGAATTCACTGTCGGAGTTTGCAGCTGGTGGTCGCAAAAAATGAAGATTCTGAAGTAAGATAAAGGAGACTCTGAGGCACTCGGAGATAGTACTGGAATTTTATTGTTGTAGGCTGAGGGTACTCAGTGGGTGATGTGTTCATCATCCCACAGCATTTTCTGGCACCATTTAGACAACAGTTGAGATAAGCCGGCAGCCTTGTGTCAATCAGAAAACCTGCCTCAGTGCTGATTTGTTGTTCTTTTTTTTTTATGTTTGCCCCTAAAAGGGTGGTTGGCACGTTGTGTTCTTGTTTACCATTAAGCTCGGATCTGCACCTTTCAGCCCAAAACATTCAATTTCAGCAACTTAATTAATTAATCACCTCTCCTCCTCCTTCTTCTGCCTTTCTAGCTCCCCAATGGAGCATAGGCGCTCAACCAACTTACGCCAAGTGGCTTTATCCTTCGCCATCGCATGCAGCTCTCCCCCATCCTTTTAACTTCACTCTCTAGCTCATTCTCCATGTGTTTTTGATTTTCCTTTTTTTTTCTAACACGCATGTGGGTTCCAATGCAAAGACATTCTAGTTATATTGTGCTCAGGTTTTCTGAATGTGTGTCCTATCCAACAACAGTGTCTTTTCTTCACCGCTTGATGCACTTGCACTTGTTTAGTTCTCTGCCAAAGCTCAACATTAGTGACTCTATCCTATCCTATTATTCCCTTTTTTCTGTGCACACATTAGTTAATGAATGTTTGTCGTTTATTAGTGATTGTCTTATTATTTCTTATGTTTTTTTTTTTTTTTTTTTTTTCACGTTCACCAGCTGTACACTCTGGCGGAAAGTTCTGGTTGTTCGTCCACTACTGAACTGCAGTCCTGCTCCAGAACCTGAGTGTTGCTGTGTGCATCAGTTTTACAGATCTCATTCTCTCGAATACAGACTGTTGGTTCCTTGCCTCTCCGGCAGATGCACTCCGACTTCAAAGGAAGCTCCCCAATTAGTCGACTCTTACGACATGCTTTTGGGGAGGCAGTGGGTCTATTCTTGTTTTCCCCTACAATGGGGCCCCGGAACCCACACGGGGGATTTCTTATGTGACTGTGCTGTTACGCAAGATGATGATGATGATGATGAAACAGGGAAAGAACAGACACACTGACCTGCCCCACAAGTCTGGCAGAGATCTGGGTCACACTCCCGGACAGCCAGGAAGCAAGGGCACAGCTTGGTGTTGCACTGAGCCTTACACCTACAGCCTGGGAATCTGTTCTGACCTGGCGACAGTTGCAGAGGAAAATCATAACAGAGGCTGCTACAACAAACACAATACATAAAATAAAGCAAAAGGACCAATAACCTTGTATCTGTTCAGAGTGACTTCAGCTGACTCTACCAGAAAACAAAAATCAGTGCTGGTTCTCTTGACCTCCCTGTGGATGATTGCTGAATGTATCTAGTACATCAGTCATGGTCTCACGTCTATAGAGTAAGCTCAACATATCTATCTCACTTCATTATTTTTACCTGCATCACACAAGCTCTTAAATATAACCCTATCTCACACCTAACATAACCTTCAGTTGACTTCAAACAATCCTCACAAACACAACCCCATCTTTCTCCACCTCACACACAGAACCTTCACCTTACTTCAAACAACCCTCACAAACAGAACCTCATCTCACTTCACGCACAATATAGCCTTCATCTTACTTCAAACAACCCTTATAAACACAACCTAATCTCACTTCACACACAACATAGACTTCACCTTACTTTAAAGAACCCTCACAAACAACCTCATCTTACTTCACACACAACATAGACTTCATCTTACTTTAAACAACCCTCACAAACAACCTCATCTTACTTCACACACAACATAGACTTCATCTTACTTCAAACAACCCTCACAAACACAACCTTTTCTCACTTCACTCACAACATAGACTTCCCCTGACTTTAAACAACCCTCACAAACAACCCCATCTCACTTCACACACAACATAGACTTCACCTTACTTTAAAGAACCCTCACAAACAACCCCATCTCACTTCACACACAACATAGACTTCCCCTTACTTTAAACAACCCTCACAAACAACCCCATCTCACTTCACACACAACATAGACTTCCCCTTACTTTAAACAACCCTCACAAACAACCCCATCTCACTTCACACACAACATAGACTTCCCCTTACTTTAAACAACCCTCACAAACAACCCCATCTCACTTCACACACAACATAGACTTCACCTTACTTTAAACAACCTTCACAAACAATCCTATCTCATTTCACACACAACATAGACTTCACCTTACTTTAAACAACCCTCACAAACAATCCCATCTCATTTCACACACAACATAGACTTCACCTTACTTTAAACAACCCTCACAAACAACCCCATCTCACTTCACACACAACATAGACTTCACCTTACTTTAAACAACCTTCACAAACAATCCCATCTCATTTCACACACAACATAGACTTCCCCTTACTTTAAACAACCCTCACAAACAATCCCATCTCACTTCACACACAACATAGACTTCCCCTTACTTTAAACAACCCTCACAAACAATCCCATCTCACTTCACACACAACATAGACTTCCCCTTACTTTAAACAACCCTCACAAACAAGCCCATCCCTCACACAAACACCTTTAAACCCATCTCACTTCTCACTTCACACACAACATAGACTTCACCTTACTTTAAACAACCCTCACAAACAACCTCATCTTACTTCACACACAACATAGACTTCATCTTACTTCAAACAACCCTTATAAACACAACCCAATCTCACTTCACACACAACATAGACTTCCCCTTACTTTAAACAACCTTCACAAACAACCCCATCTCACTTCACACACAACATAGACTTCCCCTTACTTTAAACAACCCTCACAAACAACCCCATCTCACTTCACACACAACATAGACTTCACCTTACTTTAAACAACCTTCACAAACAACCTCATCTTACTTCACACACAACATAGACTTCCCCTTACTTTAAACAACCCCATCTCATTTCACACACAACATAGACTTCACTTTACTATAAACAACCTTCACAAACAACCCCATCTCACTTCACACACAACATAGACTCACCTTCACACACAACATAGACTTCACACACAACATTACTTTTTAAACAACCCTCACAAACAACCCCATCTCACTTCACACACAACATAGACTTCACCTTACTTTAAACAACCCTCACAAACAACCCCATCTCACTTCACACACAACATAGACTTCATCTTACTTCAAACAACCCTTATAAACACAACCTAATCTCACTTCACACACAACATAGACTTCACCTTACTTTAAACAACCCTCACAAACAATCCCATCTCACTTCACACACAACATAGACTTCCCCTTACTTTAAACAACCCTCACAAACAACCCCATCTCACTTCACACACAACATAGACTTCACCTTACTTTAAACAACCCTCACAAACAATCCCATCTCACTTCACACACAACATAGACTTCACCTTACTTTAAACAACCTTCACAAACAACCTCATCTTACTTCACACACAACATAGACTTCCCCTTACTTTAAACAACCCCATCTCATTTCACACACAACATAGACTTCACTTTACTATAAACAACCTTCACAAACAACCCCATCTCATTTCACACACAACATAGACTTCACCTTACTTTAAACAACCCTCACAAACAACCCCATCTCACTTCACACACAACATAGACTTCACCTTACTTTAAACAACCCTTACAAACAATCCCATCTCACTTCACACACAACATAGACTTCACCTTACTTTAAACAACACTCACAAACAACCCCATCTCACTTCACACACAACATAGACTTCCCCTGACTTTAAACAACACTCACAAACAACCCCATCTCACTTCACACACAACATAAACTTCCCCTTACTTTAAACAACCCTTACAAACAACCCCATCTCACTTCACACACAACATAGACTTCACCTTACTTTAAACAACCTTCACAAACAACCCCATCTCACTTCACACACAACATAGACTTCACCTTACTTTAAACAACCCTCACAAACAATCCCATCTCACTTCACACACAACATAGACTTCACCTTACTTTAAACAACCTTCACAAACAACCCCATCTCACTTCACACACAACATAGACTTCACCTTACTTTAAACAACCCTCACAAACACAACCTTTTCTCACTTCACTCACAACATAGACTTCCCCTGACTTTAAACAACACTCACAAACAACCCCATCTCATTTCACACACAACATAGACTTCCCCTTACTTTAAACAACCCTTACAAACAACCCCATCTCACTTCACACACAACACCCTCTTTAAACACCCTCACAAACAATCCCATCTCACTTCACACACAACATAGACTTCACCTTACTTTAAACAACCCTCACAAACAATCCCATCTCCCTTCACACACAACATAGACTTCACCTTACTTTAAACAACCCTCACAAACACAACCTTTTCTCATTTCACTCACAACATAGACTTCCCCTTACTTTAAACAACCCTCACAAACAATCCCATCTCACTTCACACACAACATAGACTTCACCTTACTTTAAACAACCCTCACAAACAACCTCATCTTACTTCACACACAACATAGACTTCACCTTACTTTAAACAACCCTCACAAACAACCTCATCTTACTTCACACACAACATAGACTTCACCTTACTTTAAACAACCCTCACAAACAACCTCATCTTACTTCACACACAACATAGACTTCACCTTACTTTAAACAACCTTCGCAAACAACCCCATCTCATTTCACACACAACATAGACTTCCCCTTACTTTAAACAACCCTCACAAACAACCTCATCTCACTTCACACACAACATAGACTTCACCTTACTTTAAACAACCTTCACAAACAATCCCATCTCATTTCACACACAACATAGACTTCCCCTTACTTTAAACAACCCTTACAAACAATCCCATCTCACTTCACACACAACATAGACTTCACCTTACTTTAAACAACCCTCACAAACAATCCCATCTCATTTCTCACACAACATAGACTTCACCTTACTTTAAACAACCCTCACAAACAATCCCATCTCACTTCACACACAACATAGACTTCACCTTACTTCAAACAACCTTCACAAACAACCCCATCTCATTTCTCTCAGTGAACACAAGCCAACATAATAACCACACAAATATCACCTCACCCACAAAACATAACCCACAAAAACACAATCAAAGTGCACCCCACCTCATCCACTAAACATAACCCACAAAAACACCCCACCTCACCTCACCCAATGAACACAATCCGCACAAACACTTACAATCAAAGCTGCACTGGCAAAACTTCTCACAAAAGTTCTGCGCCATGATGCATGGGCACGTCTCGTCGCAGCGCTGCCCTGGGTGATCACACGGCTGGTAGTTGTAAACCGTCTTCGTGGAGCCATCTTTCTTCAGCTGAATCTTGCGGCAGTGCATGGACCATAACCTGTGATATTTCATTCTTCCTTAATTTTAATGAGCAAAAGTAAGTCACGTCTGCAGCCTATTGTATTCTCTCAAGCCTAAAATGCCACTTTTAGGTTGACATGGCAGCCGAAAAATGTCATTTTAGACATTGAGATATTTTGGCCATGTCATTTCAAGTAATAGTCACTTAATGATAATGAGCTGGTCAACAGCGGACTTCATACAAATATTGGGTACCATTAGCGGAGATGGGGTGAGCCGATACACTGTAGGATAAAATGTCCTGTTTAAAATATACGTTAAAGGGAAGACTAAACCGTGCAACAAAGCTGATATGCGCCAACATCACAACCATTGCTGTATAACCTCGGATGAATGCACACACAAAAAATACACATTAAGGTGCAAAAGAAATATTTGTCTAGTTTCAAATCTATCAGCCTTAAAAAAATATGTTCGTAATCCGTATTGACATCCTAGCACATCCGACCCATTCGTGCTCCATCCTCCAAAGCAGCAGCCATCTGCGTCTCCATGCTCATTGACCCAAGTAGCAGTTAATTGGTATATCTTTTTTTGCCCAGCAACCTGTTTCTTCATGCTTGTCCCTGTTCAACACCTCCAGGGGGTTCATCATGTACGTCTTCAAAAATTTACTATACTCATGTTTTTTCCCTAGAAAAACAAAGGTGCCGTTAGTCAGCAATGTTTATAACAGCAGCACTGAAAAAAAATTATCCGCAGAAAGAAATTACTGTTACTGTGTGTACTGCTAGAAAAAAAGGCCTGACTATACATGTAGAATCTATAAATTAGGTTAAGTTAACAATTGACATTACAGCAATGGGAACAATCCTATAAGCACTCCCTCACCAATCTTCAGCTGTCAGTGCAGAGCTCCAGCACTTAATGTGCCGTGTTTAGACATGACTTGTACCTCCAGTGAAGAGCTCCAGCACTTATGTGCCATGTTAAGACATGACTTGTACCTCCAGTGCAGGAAGAAACAGTATCTCTCTGGGTATGTTTGTGTATTTTGTTCTCTTATTACATGCAACGGCAAAGAATAGGAAGACTTTGTGTAAGCTGGTGAGGGTTGATGCTATGCTACACAGGAGATTTAGAGCAGAAGAAAACATGTTCACACGTTTACTGTTTATCAAATTTACCTCTGCTTCTTTTTCTTCTTCCTTGGGGGTGTTGTAGCCAGGTCCTCATTGACATCAGGAATGTGAGCCTCTTCTTTAACAGCAAAACGGTAAACCTGCATCAGCCATCAATAGTACAATGCATTAGGGTACTGTGATTACACTGACCTATGGCAGGTACGGCCTTAGAGCACATATGACTTCTAGGCTGTCCCATCCTTCTTTAGCTTTAGTCTGTTATATGATCTTCTGTCTAACATTTCATTCTTTGGAATATTAAAACTTAGCCTGCCTGAAAATGTACAGCCAGCGACAATGAAGAAGGAGAAGCATGAAGCTCACAAAAGTTCCAGGTCTCTAAAGATACAGGTTAAGCACTCATGTGCAGATCCTTGGATGAGCCCAGTACCTCAGTGACATATCTTCTTAGCATCCACCTGCTGCAAACTTCGTAAGTTCTAGTTCTTTGCCCACTTCTGAACTTTATCCTTGCTCCTAACTTGGAGTTCTGTGTGCACATCTGTTTCATAGATCTGGCTAACTTGCATGCAGACTGTTAGTTCCTCACAGAAATCATAAACAGAACACACAGAAATCATAAACAGAACAGACAGAAATCATAAACAGGACAGAAATCATAAACAGAACACACAGAAATCATAAACAGAACACACAGAAATCACAAACAGCACACACAGAAATCACAAACTGAATCACTAGGAAACACAAATACAGAAATTGTGAACAGAATCACTGGAAAGTACACATAGAAAATCACAAACTAAATCATTGGGAAGCACACATAGAAATCACAAAAATAACACACATAAATTACAAACAGAATCACTAGGAAAGACACACAGAAATCACAAAACAGAATCGCTGGAAAGCACATACACAAATCACAAAACAGAATTGCCAGAAAGCACATACACAAATCACAAAACAGAATGGCCAGGAAGCACATACACAAATCACAAAACAGAATGGCCAGGAAGCACATACACAAATCACAAAACAGAATGGCCAGGAAGCACATACACAAATCACAAAACAGACTCGCTGGAAAGCACATAACACACACACAAAAACAGAATCACTGGAAAGCACATACACACACACAAAAAAACAGAATCACTGGAAAGCACATACACAAATCACAAAACAGACTCGCTGGAAAGCACATATACAAATCACAAAACAGAATCACTGGAAAGCACATACACAAATCACAAAACAGAATCACTGGAAAGCACATACACAAATCACAAAACAGAATCACTGGAAAGCACACACACAAATCACAAAACAGAATAGCTGGGAAGCACATACACAAATCACAAAACAGAATTGCCAGGAAGCACATACACAAATCACAAAACAGAATTGCCGGGAGGCACACATAGAAATCATGAACTGACCTGCTGGCAAGTTTTGGTACCAATCAGACAGGCTATAGAACAGTAGTTGCTGCGATAGACATCTGCCAATACCCGCAGCAACGACTCCTCTGCTCCAGTCCAGTCTTCAGCCGTTGGGCTCGTCCGGGGTGGAAACTTGATGTCTATATCTGGCAAGGCATTCACAATGAGGACTTTTGAAGAGACTGGTTAAAAACAGTAACAACTAATACTTTAACAATAGCAAATTACAATTACCAGACCATCCTCACTCACACTGTATTCATTCCACACAAGTGCTCACATCCCCTACTCAGTAAACCCCACAGCATATAGTGACAGACAATATCAGTTCTGTGTTGGTTTAGTATTCTATGTTCAGCAAAAGTTTCACTGTGGCTAAAGCCTCATTGTTACCTCAATGAGTGTCTTGTCAACTAAAGTCAACATTCAGACTAACCCCCTCCAGCATAAACATTTCTGTGCTGCCCACTTTCATGCCGTGACAACAGACTGTCAGGAATCTTCTCTCGCTGTCTTCCTCTATTACTTTCTCCAGACACACAGACTGGCTGGTTCTGCACCAACGGGTGGTGAGGATGCAAAACGCAGGATGTGGTCAGGACCTTCAGAGGAAAGGCAACGGATGGTGAGGATGCAAAACGCAGGATGTGGTCAGGACCTTCAGAGGAAAGGCAACGGGTGGTGAGGATGCAAAACAGGCAGGATGTGGTCAGGACCTTCAGAGGAAAGGCAACGGGTGGTGAGGATGCAAAACAGGCAGGATGTGGTCAGGACCTTCAGAGGAAAGGCAACGGGTGGTGAGGATGTAAAACAGGCAGGATGTAGTCAGGACCTTCAGAGGAAAGGCAACGGGTGGTGAGGATGTAAAACAGGCAGGATGTGGTCAGGACCTTCAGAGGAAAGGCAATGGGTGGTGAGGATGCAAAACAGGCAGGATGTAGTAGGGACCTTCAGAGGAAAGGCAAGACTGATGTGTGATCAAACTGCTACTGCTGCCATCAAAGCTGGAACTTCACTGGCTGCTGAAGATGAGGATGGAGCACATATGGAAATATCCTGAGTTACGTGATGTCAATCCAGATTATCTCCTTGCGGATATCTTTCCTGTTGTCAAAATGTGAAGCAGTTGTTCTCTTCTCATTATGTGGCTAGTAAATGATGACTGAACTTTTTCTGATATTTCATGTTGAATCTCTGGTTCAGTTCTGGGTGGTTGTTTTTTTTTTAAACACATCAAGATGACTCATTATTTTCTGTGTGGGTTCCAGGGCAGCATTGTAGAAGAGGGGGGAGAGAGAGTAGGAGGAGAGAGAGAGGAGAGAGGGAGAGAGAGCAAGGGAGAGAGATAAGGGGGGAGGCAGATGTTTTGGGATATCAACGATGGTGACTTGATACTATCCAGTGGCAACCACAAACCTAACCATTAAGTTGGTGTTGGTAACATTAATGGTTTCAAAGTTACTTTACCTAACACTGTATAGCCCTTTCCACTTCCTAAAGTTACTTGCCCTCACACTGTATAGCCCTTTCCACTTCCTAAAGTTACTTGCCCTCACACTGTATAGCCCTTTCCACTTCCTAAAGTTACTTGCCCTCACACTGTATAGCCCTTTCCACTTCCTAAAGTTACTTGCCCTCACACTGTATAACCCTTTCCACTTCCTAAAGTTACTTGCCCTCACACTGTATAGCCCTTTCCAGTTCCCAAAGTTACTTTCCCTCACACTGTATAGCCCTTTCCACTTCCTGAAGTTACTTGCCCTCACACTGTATAGCCCTTTCCAGTTCCCAAAGTTACTTTCCCTCACACTGTATAGCCCTTTCTACTTCCCAGAGTTACTTTCCCTCACACTGTATAGCCCTTTCTACTTCCCAGAGATACTTTCCCTCACAATGTATAGCCCTTTCCACTTCCCAAAGTTACTTTCCCTCACACTGTATAGCCCTTTCTACTTCCCAGTGTTACTTTCCCTCACACTGTATAGCCCTTTCCACTTCCCAAAGTTACTTTCCCTCACACTGTATAGCCCTTTCCACTTCCCAAAGTTACTTTCCCTCACACTGTATAGCCCTTTCCACTTCCCAGAGTTACTTTCCCTCACACTGTATAGAACTTTCCACTTCCCAAAGTTACTTTCCCTCACACTTTATAGAACTTTCCACTTCCCAAAGTTACTTTCCCTCACACTGTATAGAACTTTCCAGTTCCCAAAGTTACTTTCCCTCACACTGTATAGCCCTTTCTACTTCCCAAAGTTACTTTCCCTCACACTGTATAGCCCTTTCTATTTCCCAAACTTACTTTCCCTCACACTGTATAGCCCTTTCCACTTCCTAAAGTTACTTGCCCTCACACTGTAAAGCCCTTTCCACTTCCCAAAGTTCAACCATGAGGCACCTTTTAAGACTACATCTTCAGTAATCTTTGGTCACACACTTAATCCCCTATGAGCCATAAACTCAGCTCGAGCCCCCTAGTTTCCATCAAAGCTCAATCAACATGTCTATTGGGGTAGCTACATGTTACTTAGCAACTCCTCCAGGAGGGGATAGGTCTAGCAGGACATGTTCCAGGGTCTGCTCAGTGTAAAGACACTGACCAGACAGCTGTCTGGTTCATACACAATTCACATGAGTGTCTGCTAAGTCTGCGGTGTTCAATGGTAAAGACTTCAAGTGCACTGCCCTCTTTGTGACTCAAAGTTGGAAAGATATACCTGCCAGTCCTCACTCCAGAGAAACATTACCATCAGCGTTGTTGCTCTCCTCACTGTTGTCACTACTGGGTACACTCCCTCCGTTAACAGCTTTTCTCTTCCTCCAGTTGGTCTCTGAACGAGGTGGTGAAGTCCTGGTTGAGTCTTTTTGATGATCTTTGTTGTCCTTCTCCCCTGTTGTACGACTATCCTTCATTCCTTGCTGAAAGCAGGGAAAACATGTTGACGCATGAGGAAGCATTATCATAAACATCAACAGCTAAGAAACAATTAGAAATAACTTCCAAATAGCTTAGAATCAACTTAAGAAACACCAATGAACAGATCAAAAACACAAATGCAAAGCAACTTAAGAAACACCCAAAAATATTTAAAAAACTGATCAAAAATGCTAAAACACATAGATAAGGAACAGACTTATAAACAACTTAAAGAACACCACACAAAAAACAACTTAAAGAACACCACACAAAAATGCCTAAGAAACAGACTAAAAACTTTGAAAAAGAGAAACACCTACAAACCGTTAAGAAACACCAATAGATATTTAAGAAGCAGACCAGAAATGAAATACAACTCTAGAAACACAATGTGAACTCTTTCAGTGGCAGAAGATTTAGCAACAGAGACCCTAGAAGAACACAGCACGATTTTACATAAGGGTTGCTGAGTTCTCCCTCTACATCTTCGACAGCCAGCAGTTCCAATGCTCATAGCATAGTGGCAGTTCATATGTCCTGCCTTTCATCTGAGTACAAAGCATCAACCAAACCCCCTGGTCACTCCCTACTGCACCATTCCCTGCACACTGTAATGATCTATTCGATCTTCCACATTATCCACTTGCTCCCAAAGGGTCTTGACCATGCTTTTAGCTTGCCTTGTTTCACCACCCAGAACCAGCTATGTCCGCATGTTCATATCCCAACAAATTTGCATCCCTAGAGAAAAATTCTAAGGGATGATAACCACCGGGGACCTCTGATGTGATGCTTGCCACATTATACAATGACATTATTGTATAAGAGTGCACAGAGCGTCACTAAACAACATATTAGTGTGTTTGAGTGTAATAAGTGTCACATAACAACACTTTAGTGTATTTGAATGTAATGAGTGTCACATAACATCACATAAGTATATTAGAGTGTGCTGAGTGTCACATAACAACATATTAATGTATTAGAGTGTAATAAGTGTCACATAACAACATATTAGTGTATCAGAGTGTAATAAGTGTCACATAACAACATATTGGTGTATTAGAGTGTAATAAGTGTCACATAACAACATATTAGTGTATTAGAGTGTAATAAGTGTCACATAACAACATATTAAAGTTTTTGAGTGTAATAAGTGTCACATAACAACATATTAAAGTGTTTGAGTGTAATAAGTGTCACATAACAACATATTAAAGTGTTTGAGTGTAATGAGTGTCACATAACAACACTTCAGTGTATTTGAATGTAATGAGTGTCACATAACATCACGTAAGTATATTAGAGTGTGCTGAGTGTCACATAACAACATATTAGTGTATTAGAGTGTGCTGAGTGTCACATAACAAATACATAAGTGTATTAGAGTGTGCTGAGTGTCACCAAATAACACATAAGTGTATTAGAGTGCAATAAGTGTCACATAACAACACATAAGTGTATTAGAGTGTGCTGAGTGTCACATAACAACACATAAGTATATTAGAGTGTGCTGAGTGTCACATAACAAACACATAAGTGTATTAGAGTGTGCTGAGTGTCACCAAATAACACATAAGTGTATTAGAGTGCAATAAGTGTCACATAACAACACATAAGTGTATTAGAGTGTCACTTAACAACACATAATTGTATTAGTGCGCTGAGTGTCACCAAATAGCACATAAGTGTATTAGAGTGCAATAAGTGTCACATAACAACACATAAGTGTATTAGAGTGTCACTTAACAACACATAATTGTATTAGTGCGCTGAGTGTCACCAAATAACACATAAGTGTATTAGAGTGTGCTGAGTGTCACCAAATAACACATAAGTGTATTTGAGTGTAATGAGTGTCAAATAACATCACATAAGTTTATTAGAGTGTGCTGAGTGTCAGCAAACAACACATAAGTGTATTTAGAGTGTAATAAGTGTCACATAACAACACATTAGTGTATTTGAGTGTAATGAGTGTCACATAACAACCCACAAGTATATTAGAGTGTACTGAGTGTAATATAAGAACATTTACTGTATGAAGAAAACAATGTACTGAGTGCACCAAACAACACTTACAATATGAAGGAAGCAATCAGGCCCACAAGCTTCAGTCTTCTGTTTCTTCTCTGGAATCTTCCTGGACAGCATGCTGGGGGTGGGGTGGTAGGCTGGAAAATACAAACATAACAACAAAGATTGCAGAGTTCAAAAGCAATACAGTAAAACCCTGTCGACAAGAACTTGCTTAAGAGATCACCGGGCTAACATTAATACAACTGTGGTCCCAGCACATTATTGTCACTGGTCCTCAGCATGAATTTTCTTTTGAACTTCACTGCATTTTCAGTCTCTTGGAATCTGTGGTAATGAATTCAAACATGAAGTACATACTTTGATTTGAGCCTCCTCATAGCACAGTTTTACAATACCGTCTGGGAAGTCAGAAAAATGCCAACTTACTATGAACAATGTAGGAAGAAAAGAAGACGGCCAATGCTAATATATCTTCTTCTTCTTCTCTTCCTAAAGTCACCTCAGTGAAGTCTTTGGAAGAGAGATAAGAAGGGTCAGTGGGCTTCATCTAATGTGCTGGGTACGTTGGTCTAAATTTCCACAACCTCTTCCTGAAATCTGACATTAGACAGAAAGAAATAACGTGCAACCGCACATTATGATGATGAAATAGGAGACAACTTACGGTGTAGAAAACAGTCATATTTAAAACAGCGTCTGCAAAACAGTGTGTGGAACGAGTGCATGGTCTGTTCCCTGGGCACCGACTGAGCTTTGGGCCCATCAATGTTTGGAGTGCACTCAGCTGGTGCCTCTTGTCCACTAGCCTTCTGGGACTCCACAAGTTCCTTGTACCTGGAAAAAAAAAATGTTGTGGTCAGAGAACAGACATTCAGGACATCCATAACAGCACAACCTACTACAAGCACACGTCAACCAGAAATTATACATCTGAAAATTACCTCGAAAAAACAATTAATATATAAAAATGGTCGCCGCTGACAGGTCAACCCAGCCTAAAAGAAATACTACGTAAAGTCCCGGGCAACTGGTGTGATAGTGACATAAAAAACTTATAGGTCTTTAAAAAATATGAGCCATGGCGTGAAAAGGTTCTTTCACCTTTGATTTTGTGCTTCTTTTTCTTTTCCCCCATTCACCCTTACAGGGGCAGACGACACACTGAGATTATTCTCCTTTGACAACATCATTATAAAGTAAAGTAAAAAAGTAAAGATCCCTTTTCACGCCTTAGGCGCATTGGGTATATGGACAGAGCGTCCCATATATTTTACAGACCAATCGGCACTGGATGGGTAATGTGGTCAGCATTACGCCGGCCGTCTTTACTTCCCCAGGACAGCCATCCTGGTACCCATTTTAGACTGGGTCGACCTGCGACGCCCCGTACCATGATAAAAATCCACGCAGCCAGCAGTGGGTGTCGATCGCGGTACATTGGATTACGAGTCAGACTCGCAACGCCTAAGCCACGGACGCCGCATATTTATAAAGAGGTGGTGGTATATTCTCTTGCCTCTTCGACACAGGAAGCCTTATATTTTCTCTACCTTGACATGTCAGTCTCTTACATCTACTGTAGCATGAAGTTTATAAGGAAATGTGATCTTAATAAATATACCAAAAACTTTGCAAAATAATCTGTGCAATAAACAATCTACACACAATCTGCTCTATTATATACAGTACACTCCAACCTCACATATCCAGTCTGACCTTTATTTACACAGCCCACACACAGCTGGCCCTTATTTACACAACACACACACAGCTGGCCCTTATTTACACATCTAGCCCTTATTTACACAACACACACACACAGCTGGCCCTTATTTACACATCTAGCCCTTATTTACACAACACACACACAGCTGTCCCTTATTTGAACAACCCACACACAGCCTGAACTCATTTACACAACCCACACACAGCTGGCCCTTATTTACACATCTAGCCCTTATTTACACAACACACACACACAGCTGTCCCTTATTTGAACAACCCAAATTAACAATCTACACACAATCTGCTCTATTATATACAGTACACTCCAACCTCACATATCCAGTCTGACCTTTATTTACACAGCCCACACACAGCTGGCCCTTATTTACACAACACACACACAGCTGGCCCTTATTTACACATCTAGCCCTTATTTACACAACACACACACACAGCTGGCCCTTATTTACACATCTAGCCCTTATTTACACAACACACACACAGCTGTCCCTTATTTGAACAACCCACACACAGCCTGAACTCATTTACACAACCCACACACAGCTGGCCCTTATTTACACATCTAGCCCTTATTTACACAACACACACACACAGCTGTCCCTTATTTGAACAACCCAAATAAACAATCTACACACAATCTGCTCTATTATATACAGTACACTCCAACCTCACATATCCAGTCTGACCTTTATTTACACAGCCCACACACAGCTGGCCCTTATTTACACAACACACACACAGCTGGCCCTTATTTACACATCTAGCCCTTATTTACACAACACACACACACAGCTGGCCCTTATTTACACATCTAGCCCTTATTTACACAACACACACACAGCTGTCCCTTATTTGAACAACCCACACACAGCCTGAACTCATTTACACAACCCACACACAGCTGGCCCTTATTTACACATCTAGCCCTTATTTACACAACACACACACAGCTGTCCCTTATTTGAACAACCCACACACAGCCTGAACTCATTTACACAACCTACACACAGCTGGCCCTTAGTTACACAACCTACACACAGCTGGCCCTTAGTTACACAACCTACACACAGCTGGCCCTTATTTAAACAACTGGCCCTTATTTACACAACCCACAAACGGCCTGAACTTATTTACACAACCCACACACAGCTGGCCCTTATTTACACAACCACACACAGCTGGCCCTTATTTACACAACCCACACACAGCTGGCCCTTATTTACACAACAAACACATAGCTGGTCCTTATTTACACAACCCACACACAGCTGGCCCTTATTTACACAACGTGCCCTAATCTATTCAACACAAATACAGCCTGACTTCATTTAATTTCTCCTTCACCACACACATCCTGCCCTAAACTAATCTCTCCCTTCCCCACACACATCCTGCCCTAAACTAATCTCTCCCTTCCCCACACACATCCTGCACTAATCTACCCAGCCCATGACAGAATAACTGGCACTAGATCAAACTGACTTGTCCTGAAGCTCCTCCACAGTTCCACCCTGATCTGGGAAGGCAGCACAGATGGCTTCAAACACCTCCACTGGAATTTCAGCCACATCCAAGAATTCCACTTTGCCACCATCCAGCACTTCCCTCTTCACCTTTACCTTGTCATCTTCTGAAACAGAGATCAGTTCACAAGTTTGAATCTGCAGGTGACAGTGTTCCACTGTGCTAAATGCAGGCATGTCAATCACAGCTCATTTCTATACCAATAAAGGCGGGGGGATCAAGTTCTTTCTCCATAAAGCACAAAGTCTGGGCAGTATAACAGAGACCATGTGCCGCCAGTGAAGCATGATTATCTTCCTCGGACTGCATTGTTAACTCCAAAGGATAGGTAATACCAATATGTTTGGAACAAAACTTGTGGAAAAGCTGTCAGATCAGAAGAGTAATGATGTCTGCCTGTTGGAGCTCCACTCCTAGAAAGCTGTCAACCAACACGAAGTTTTCAGGTTGCATATCCTTATCCTAGGATAAGGCTAGTATCTTCTGCACACACAAAACTACTCTGCTCAAAGCTGTTGGCACAAATGAACTACTGCATTCCCCATAAAATATCACATAATGTGTGGGGTGTTTCAAAACTGATGTATAGCTTTCAAAAGAAAAAATACCCCCTATCTTCAATGTAAACAATTTTATAAGTGAGAGGTATAACTTATGTGTACTATGTTTTATATCACATGGCTCAGTCTTTCTCAGCCAGAGTGGCTGACACCTACAGAGAGGAAAACACAAAACAAAAAAAAGCACAACTTCAGTGACTGTCTCTAGTGATTTCATGTGTGAATCAACCGACAGTCAGAAGACTCCTCCTCTTCTTCGCGCTCACCAGCTGTAAACTGGTGGACACTCCTGGCAGTCTGGACTTTAGTCTTGTTCCAGAACTTGAATGAAGTCTGCATGCACATCCGTTTTACAGACCCGGCTTATCTGTATGCAGACTGCTGATTCCCTGCCTCTCAGGCAGATGCACGACTTCGCAGGAAACACCCCTAATTAGTCTCCATCTATAACATGCTTGTTATGGGTGGGGGCAGTGTGTCTAGTCTTTTTTTCCAGAACCCACAAGGTGAAGACAGAAGACAAACCCATGGCATTTAAGGCATGAGACAAACAATTTAGTCACTTGGCCATATCCTATCTTCGCTATTTATTAATATATTTGTTATGAAGGGTGGTATTCAGCAACTGTAACAATATACAGACCAGGCTACAGTCCAACCCCAGGACATACATTATTTTTTTTTTAAAAACATAAACAGTTAGTATAAGTAACAACAGCAGAACTGGTTAAACATAAAAGTTAGTATAGGTAAGAACAGCAGAACTGGTTAAACATAAACAGTTAGTATATGTAACAACAGCAGAACTGGTTAAACATAAACAGTTAGTATATGTAACAACAGCAGCACTGGTTAAACATAAACAGTTAGTATAGGTAAGAACAGAAGAACTGGTTAAACATAAACAGTTAGTATAGGTAACAACAGCAGCACTGGTTAAACATAAACAGTTAGTATATGTAACAACAGCAGCACTGGTTAAACATAAACAGCTAGTATAGGTAACAACAGCAGCACTGGTTAAACATAAACAGTTAGTATATGTAACAACAGCAGCACTGGTTAAACATAAACAGTTAGTATAGGTAACAACAGCAGTACTGGTAAAAAAAAACAGCTGCCTGTTGGCCCAAGGGTCTGATATTCAGATCAGCGTCAAGGGAGATTGTTATAATTAACCTAGGGCTTCAGTTCCAACCAAGTGTAAAATCAGCATAGGAAATGTCCTGGGAAGTACAGGAAGCCATCTTGATATTCACTAGAACAACTATCAAGTGCCAGCGGGTCAATAAAAATATAGGTTTTATATTTTAAGCCCAGTGCTCCAATGGCTTGAAAGAAACATCCACTACTTCACTTTTTGTAAACGACAGACCAGCTATGTCAAACTGAGGGTCCACCAGGGCCTTATGGGTTACACCCAGAGCCATATGGGTCACACCCAGGGCCTTATGGGTCACACACAGGGCCATATGGGTCACACCCATGGCTAAATGGGTCACACCCAGGGCCATATGGGTTACACCCAGGGCCATATGGGTCACACGGCTATCCTCTTATTTTGTTTTCCCCATCCCTTGTGCATATGCCCATTCCAATCTTGATCCGTATTTCACCATCTGTATAAATGCCGAGGTCTTCTGGGCGTGAATGCTGATCAATCAGTGCCCTAATCTCTGCATCTATGGTGTCAAGTATCTGACTCCTGCAGTACCTTCCCAATCTTAAGACAACCTTAGACAACTCATGCATGTCTACTGGTGTATCCATCCATTCTGTCGTGGCTGATCTCGTCTAGGTCACATACTTGCTTGATTAGATTTTCTGCCTCGGCCATCCAAGATGAGTCTGTGAGTTCTATAAACAAACAGCACAGGAGAATGATTATGATGAATCCCAGGCTTACTAAGACAATGAAACAGTTCAGAACACAACATACCTCCATTTTCAGCTTTGTACTGAGAGGCTACCGAATTCACCAGCTCCAGAAATATGTCATCTCCTATCCCAGAATTCCTCTCTCCATGCACACGACCTTCATAGTTTTTGAGGAGCTCTTCAATGAAGGAGGTGTCTTGGTCCAGAAGCTCATCGCCCATATATGGAATGTTATGAAGGACAGTTTCGTCTTCTACCTGTTGATGTGTTTAAAAATAATCCTCTCTATTTTGACAAACAAGCAAAGAAGAAAGAAATAGAAAAAAAAGGCTTAACAGGGAAAGAGACAAAAAGGCAACACAAGATAGACATAAAGACATCACAAGATAAGCAGAAAGACAGCCCAACATAAGTAGAAAGACACCACAAGATAAGCAGAAAGACAGCCCAACATAAGTAGAAAGACACCACAAGATAAGCAGAAAGACAGCCCAACATAAGTAGAAAGACACCACAAGATAAGCAGAAAGACAGCCCAACATAAGTAGAAAGACACCACAAGATAAGCAGAAAGACAGCCCAACATAAGTAGAAAGACATCACAAGATAAGCAGAAAGACAGCCCAACATAAGTAGAAAGACACCACAAGATAAGCAGAAAGACAGCCCAACATAAGTAGAAAGACACCACAAGATAAGCAGAAAGACAGCCCAACATAAGTAGAAAGACATCACAAGATAAGCAGAAAGACAGCCCAACATAAGTAGAAAGACACCACAAGATAAGCAGAAAGACAGCCCAACATAAGTAGAAAGACATCACAAGATAAGCAGAAAGACAGCCCAAAATAAGTAGAAAGACATCACAAGATAAGCAGAAAAGGACAGAAAGGTCTAACAAGACAAGCACGAAGAAAAAACAGAAAGACGTTATAAAACAAGCAGAAATAAGAAAAAGGAAATAACAATAAACTAAGATAATGGCAATAAGACAGAAAGACATCACAGGGGCTGCAGAAAGATAAAATGTTGTTGGTCTAGACATGTTTTCTGCATCCATGAACGGTTGCGCCACTTGACAACTGCTTGCTTACCATAAAGTTCTGCTGCACAGGTGCCCAACTGTACATTGTCGGAATAGACTTGACCGGCATCACAATCTTCAGTGGGCCAGATTGCGTCGGAAACCCCATGCCACTGACCACTTCACACTGGAGATCACGAGAGAAGAGGGGCAAATCAAACAAGCTGTACAAATCATGCTTTAACAAATGGACACTCTCTTGGACAAAGTCAAGGTTTAACAATTTGCACCCTAACTTCCTTGTCACTTTTTTCATTTGCCCCAAAACAGGACGGTATACCCACATCTCCAGAGACTCTATAATTTACAATATAATTTATTTCAAGCATTAATTCTTAAAACTTAATCCGTTGTGTTTTAACAGATGAATGAGTTCGCCCAACTAGTTAACTATCTTTACTAGGACTCATATTACGGGCAGAAAAAAAAGTTATGCTGGGGCTTATTTTCGGGTTAGTCTTTATTGTTGGGGAAATGTAGTATTTCAAAGTCTGCCTATGTCATCTGTCCGTTTTGTACACAGAACTACCATAACACCAACAAACATCTGCAGACACAACCCTGTTAAACACACACATGCGGATAACTACTAACTGTACATAGCAAGCTGTTGGACCACACTCCTATCAAAGTGGTACCACAACCACATTGTACAGAATGTGCTCAACACCACAATCATCGGCACATAACAAGTTTGTACTCTTGAAGAAAAAAAATTACACAACCTTACAAGGAAACGTCTGTGTTTCCCCTTTAAATGATGGTTGGCATGATGTGCTGCGCGATACAGATAGGCTGCATGCAATATCTGTCTGTGTCTTCTGGCCCAACGCATCCAATTTCAGTAAACTATAAATTAGCCAACTCTTACAACATCCCTGTTGGGGGGGGGGGGGGGGGGGGTTCCAACAGGTCTTTTATTTTTTCCTTCCTAGAATAGAGTCCAGGAATCCACACTGGAAGGCCACTGAGTATAATAGTTATTAAACATATTCAAAGCAAAGAACCAAAGTCACAGATCCAAGTTTTGTCATAAATCAAGTTACACTGCTCTGTCATCTGAAGCCCACAGTGTAGTCAGTCAGTCAGTAGCCTGTCATTTGCTAAACCTTGTTCCCATAACAACTCTCCGGAAAACTTCTCGACCACAAGCAAGATGTCCTTAGCCTGATACACCCATTTGGAGATCATCCACTACATCCTGCACCCACTGTCTCTTTGGCTTTCCTCTTCCTTTTTTTTCCCAGGCATATACCAGTCCATTATTATTCTCTCTTAACTGTTGTGACATTTCAAGTGACCAAAGTATTTCTATTTTCTGTATTTTATCATCTTTAATAGCCAACCTTCTTCAATATTTAGTTTTTGAAGCATGAATGCATTTGTTCTGTTCTTTACCCATGATATTCTTAAAAACCCGTCTGAAACATTTGTATTCAAAGGCATTTATGCACTGTTTAATAAGTGTCCAGGTCTCATAGGTGTATGCTGCAATGGGAAAGTACACACATATATAGGTATTCATTTGTCAGCCTTTGACTGCCCCCCCCCTCCTTTTTCAGCCTATCACTGAGGTAGCAGGTTAGTGCCTGCCTCTGAATTATCCCTTGACCTCTTTGACATCAGAGATCCTAATAGCAGTTTGGCTACCATAAACACAGTTCTCGGAGTCACAGAAACTCACATGTCCCTCTACCACTTTAAGGTGGAGACACATCATACAACCAAATTCAAGAGGTAAATTTAAAGGTAAATTCTAGTAGACCTTTTTGGCAGATCTGCCTGGTAAGATTTCTGGCACCATCAGTTTCTGTACCGACTGCTTCGCTAGCCATTCCTTCTCTTTCTCCAGTTCCTGCTCAATTTCCAGTCTGTTTGCAGAAAAGGCATTCTGAAGATAAAAACAAAATCAATATGTCAATTTAAAAAAGTAACAACTAATTCACATTTTTATGCTCAAAATAAATTGTTTAGTTAGACATGAAAGCGCTGAGGTCTTTAAATGGATAGAGAGAAACCTCCTGGGAAGTAAAGGCAGCCAGTGTGATGCTTCCAAATCACTCATAGAATGTTGACTGCAGATACTAGTTTAGCACCAATTCAGATTTTTAGAAAAAAGGTCCTTTCACTAATCCTTTGGATGCCTCAGTGGTGTAGCTCCCTGACACTCTGCCTGACAGTCCGAAAGTCACTGGTAGGAATCTGCATCAAGTTGGATTTTTTCAAACATGACTTTGGCTCCCAGGTCAACCCAGCCTACAACAGGTCACAGGTAATGTCCTGAGAGGTACTTGTTCACCAATCAAGTCAAATTCTGTGATGGGTCTATATAAGTTGTTGGCAAATTGCGGCTCTTTAGTGACCTGAGTGTAGCTGGGCCGGTCTGTCTTATTTATTTCCAGGGTATCCAGTGGGTTGGTATCCAGTGAAAGACTAGTTCAGATCTTTTAGACAGCATTCTAAAGTTTTTCTTCTTTTTTTCGTGCGCCCGAGTAAAGTAAATGCTTTGTGCCTGTTTACTACAGAACTGCTATACTTGCGCCTTTCGCCCGACACATCCGAATTTATTGTTGACCATGTTAACTTCTCGGATAGTTTCGCGTGACAGGGACATGTGGTCGACTTATTTGTGTGTCGTTCACTTTGTCCCCTGGTTGATCAAATACAGGTCTAATTCTATACACCCAACACATCTGAAGGCGTGGAAAAGAATACTTTACTTAGACTTCAATAGTACACAGTAGAAATGAGTCTCACTTTAACTTCGTCTGCTCGCTTGTCCTTGTGCAGAAAGCACAGCCTAGTGTACTCAGCCTTGACCCGCTTCTTCCAGTCGACAACGCCGGGATTGAACAATTCACTAAGGCAGCTTGGTGATGGTGACGATGCTGCTGCCTGCCCTGCTTGCAGCAGACGCTGGGCACCACTGCGGGTGTGACAGGCGCCCTCTGGAGTTGACATCTCTTCAGTCCTATAAATTAGAGAAATAACATTAACACACACAAAAACTGAATACAATTAAACACATATAATATAACCAAATACTAATTTTCTTTAATTATTAATTTTGTTTCTATCGTTCTTCTACTTCTTTGTTCATCTGAGGGCTCTCTGTGTGGGTTTCGGGGTATCACTAGGGGGTAAACAAAAATAGACCCACTGCTTTCCAACAAACATGTTATAAGAGTCGACTAATTGGGGCTTTCTTTGATGTCAAAGTGAGTCTGCCTGAAAGGCAAGGAACCACCAGTCTGCATACAAAAAAGCCTGATGTGTAAAATGGATGTGCATGCAACACTTAGGTTCTGGCACAAGACCACAGCTCAAAGGTGGATGAACAACCAGAACTTTTCATAACCTGTGAACAAGAAGAAGAGTTTGTCAGAAGACATAACTGAAATTGTGCTTGTTTACATCATAAGTTAAAGTTGTGAAATCTGTGACCTTTGGCTAATATATTTGACTTCTTCATGAATTTGTTGTGCATATTCATTTTATTAGACTCTCATACTGTCCAGAAACTAAAACATCATTCCTTTTTTTTTTATATAAACCATGGGTCAGGAAAATCGAATCCTATCTCATACTCAGGAATCATGTAGTCATAATTTATGGGTTTCGGCATTCTGATTCTGCAGTTAAATAAATAAGTTCCCTGTGTTGGTTCCAGGGTTATAATATGGGAGGAACAATATGCCCACTGCCCTCCCCAACAAGCATGTCGTAGCAGTCGACTCATCAGTGGGGTAGGGGTTCCTTTGAAGTCAGAAATGTAGCGTTAAGTAAAGCTAGTCCCGAGCGGCAGACACACAAATAGTAAAGTGCAAAACTCAGGCGCTGGCACAAAACTGAAGTCCAAAAATACGAACAACCAGAACCTTCCGTCGGTGATCAAATAATAATAAATAAAGAGATACATGTAAGTATAAGCTAACTTAAAAAGAGATACATGTAAGTATAAGTCATAATAAGCTAACATTACTAACAATTAACAACAATGTAGTAATACCTGAGCCGGAGGTGCCTCCTCCTCCCGAGAGGCAGAAGAAGAAAGCACCTTTTAACTTTTATGTAATGACAAATGAATAAAATACAACTACAACAGACAAAACATGGAGCGGCCTATATAAGGTCCTTCTTCTGTTATTCGCGTTAACTTTACAGCTGTACACTCTGCTGAAAAGCTCTGGTTGTTTATCCACTTCTAAACTGCAGTCTCGTTCCAGAACCTGAGTGTTGCATGTGCAGATCTGACTCATTTGTATGCAGACTGCTGGTTCCTTGCCTCTGAGGCAGATGCACTCTGACTTCCAAGGAAGCTCCCAATTAGTCGACTCTTACGACATGCTTTTGGGTAGGCAGTGGGTCTATTCTTGTTTTTCCAATAACAGGGCCCCGGAACCCACACAAGGGCACACAGCCGATATAAGTAATATATATATATATATATATATATATATATATATATATATATATATATATGTATATATTAATTTTTTTTTAATTTTTTTATTTTTATTTTAATGAAGCTACAGCCCGGAGGTAACAATTCATGAGCATCAGAGAGAGGAAGTCATAATTATGTGGCAAGGCGATAAGAAGGCATTAAACTGAACATGTGACAACTGGAAATATAAAGGGACAGAGGGAGATAATGACGATGAAAAAAGATTCTTGCTATGGAAGGGTCTCAACATACATAGTGATACCTGCTGCTTGGAGGGGGGAAAGCCGCCGTAGAGTCCTGGTTAGACGCACGCCTGTTGGTTCGAAGCGCTTGGGTTCAAGTCCGCATTGAGTCTGACTCGTAAAATTGACCTTGGCTTCCAGGTCTTACCAGGTATTGTCCTGAGAAGTAAAGGTAGCCAGTATGATGTAAACTACATCATCCAATCGAGTACTGATTTGTCTATACAACAATGTGTAGCATCATATTTCCAATGCACTACTAGCATGGTGGGGTCTTATACTTTCTCACATCAAGTTAAAGCCACATATGGCGAGGCACGATCGCTTACGTCAGTCGACAAAACCAGTGAAGATGATGACTGTATTATTAACTTGTTAATTGTCAACTCCCGTGGCTGCCCAAAACAGGGTCTAATCACTTATAGTAATGTCCGGAGTGCTGTAATGACAGTTCTTAACTCCGAAGCCGTAGTGGCGCAGCGGCGAGACGCTCGCCTGCGGATCTGAAGGTCGTTGCTTCAGAACTTGGCGGAGTCGAACATTTTTTTCTTCCCCAAAAACTTGCCTTCGCTCCCAGATCGACCCAGCCTCAAATAGTTACTAGATAAAGTCCTTGAAAGAAAAATATCAAGCTGTCGGCGTTATGTTGACCACTTTAACCATGGTGTGCCGTTTGTCTATAAAATATAGGTCTAGTCATATATATCCAATAAGCATGTAGGGGCGGAGAAGAGTTCTTTCATTTTGCTTACTCTAAAGTACACCTATGACTTTTGATGCTGCCATTATTGCCTCGGTCAGACCATAGTCATCTGCACCAAAATAAACAATCATCATGTTCGACCACCATCCTCTAAGGGTGAGCTTTAAGTTATAACTGCGACTATGTTATGTGCGCCATATGAAATGACTTAGCATTGAACGCCACCAAGAGCTCTAAAAAATAGTTGAGTCAAGAAATCACATCATAGCACTCGGGGCATTCCCATGCGTGCTCCGTCCTCATCTTCAGCAGCCAGTGCAGAATTCCAATACTAAAATACCGGTCGTAATCTGGTTATTTGTCCGTCTCGCCTTTTCCCTGAGTGCAGTGAACTCTGAGAAAGACTTCTGTAGTGATGCGATCAAAGAAGACAGACCCAAATATTGTCCTGACCGGCGACGAAGTCGTCTACTGGCGAGTAAATAAGCGACCTGGTCGCCGATGTTACAATATTATAACTGAAGCGCTAACTAGTAGCAGTTGATTAAAATAAAGCAAATATATGAATTCTTTCAAATAAAACATGAAACCGACTAATTGTGGAGTAAACCGGTACAAACTGTGCAACATATTGTTTGTATTTTGTTTGTTCAAAAATATTTGTTGACATTTAGAAAAATTATACGCAATAGGAAACCTTTCAAACTCACACAGAGGGTATCAGAAAGCTGGAGTAGAGAGTGTGAAGACAATGTATTTAACAATCTGTTTAAACGCGATCTGTGGAAAGCGGGTTTCTGAAATGTCAATGTTTACTATATTGACGATCCCAAGGCAGTTTGTTCTGCTTCGTGTGTTGTTTATTGCCCAAGGAGTCTGTCTTAGTCGACATGACGAATCAGCAGACCTGCCAGAAGAGATACATCTCAGTAAAACCGAAACATTCAAAGTGCAAACGTTCAGACCTATTCTGCACACTTAATTTTTGAATAGACAATTGTTACAAGCACTTATTCATAGATTGGAAATCGGTTTTCTATGTTCGGTGAACTCAGAACCATTACTTCTGGTGCACTATGGAAACGGCGCGAACATCTGGCTAATATGTAACACAAAGATCTGAATTATGATTCTTCTTCTTCTTCAGCGTTCCGAGCCCTTGAGGTTCATTGCTGCAGATATCACCCGCTCCATTCATCTCTCCGGTTGGCCTTCTCTTTCCAGTTGGTAACACCAAGTGTTTACAGGTTTGCCTGGACGTTATTTCTCCATCTTCTTGGTCTGCCTCGTGGTCTACGACCATTCATCTCCCTTGTGTATACAGTTTTTACCTCTCTGTCATTTGACATTCTCTCAGTATCATCATCATAAACCACTTCTGTCGTTAAGCAACGTGGGGAGGAATAATTTGCTATCCAGTGCACGTTGGCTGCCACTGGCTATTGTCATGCCGTGAAGGCGTAGAGTGTCTTTAATGTTGTCAATCCATATTTCCGCGGCCGTCCTCTTGCTCTTGTAGCTGATCTTCTGAGATGTAGTGCTTGTGATGGTATTTAATCTTGCTGCTTTCTAACGAGATGGGCAAAGCCTTTTATCTGTTGTTTCATAATTACATTTTTCTTACGTCCTTCTTAGGACGTTATTTTTTGTTATTTGAAGCCCCACTCTGGCTTTTGCCAGGGGCCGCAATATAGGCAGGTCATCATTATGGCCAAATGTCTGAACGCGGTTTCTGGGACCTCTCCACGGTGATCCTCATCCGCATGGTGGCATTTTGTGTCATCGGGTGTTTATCGCTTGTGTGATGTCCTGGTGGGGTAAAAAGCCAATCCAGCCAATCCAATCTGTTGTTTCTCGATGATTGATTGATTTGATTTGATTCAAGAACCGACATCACAGCACTCGGGGCATTCCCATAAGCGCCCCGTCCCCATCCTCTGCAGCCAGCGAAGAGTTCCTATACTAATAGTGCCAGTAGCATTCTGATTAAACGTCCGTCTTGCCTTCCCTCTGAGCCTCGAGCATCTGCCAGAACCTCTCGTCACTCCCCGCTGCATCAATCTCACCAGACTGTGGTGATCCATCTGCTCCTCCGAACTGTACACGCTCTCCCACAAGACACTAACCACATCTGTCTTAACATGTATCAGTATTCCACCAGGTTGTGCAGAGCCAGCCAGTCTGTCCGCCTGTTTATTTCCCAACACACCGGCATACCGGTGAAAATAATCCAGACAATACACCTCACTCTTGTCCTCCGCAGCGAAGCATGCCACTCTGAACGAAGCATACCTGTTCTGATCTTCCTCAGCATGCTTTCTGAATCAGTTACAATCACGATGTGTGTGTGTGTCGTGTTCTCTAGCCAGAGGAAAGCTGCAGTGACCGCCTCCACCTGCATTCTTAAGCTGTATGTTGTGGTATCATATGCTAGGCTATTCTGCACCAAAAATCAACCATTAACTTTTGCTAAGAAGCCCCAAGCACTTCTTTTGCCTCTTGACACTGAACCGTCTGTGTAAATGATCAAATCCTCTGAGCGAGCATTATCTTGAATTAATTGCTGAAT